TTTCCGGGGAATTATTTTCCGCTCACCGCCAATATACTAATTAAGTTTATTTGACTGGTAATCACCTCATGAAATATATTAATATATGATTGATTTGTATCTATGATATTTATAGCATTGATAATATATATATATGACATTTATAGCATTGATAATATATATATATATAACATTGATAATATATAATATAAATCTCATTTATAACAGCCACCACATGTAATCTTTGGCTAAGGATTTGATTTTTCCTGCTCCCAAGTGACCTTCATGTAATGACTGTAGTATATTTTTTCTCATAGAAGACGGAATTATGATTTTGTTGCTTTTGTAAAGACATTCCTTAATTATACTTAATTCCAATTCAATGTTTTTATAAATATTATTCATTATTGGCCTGTTGTTATTAATATCACTTATGAATTGTTTTAATTCCATTCTTTCAAAGTTTCATCACGAATTTGATTAAAGTTAATAGGTAAATCCTCATATTCATTTATTATGGTTATATTTTCAATAGTTTCATCATGACATTCTTGTGGGAATCTCGAGAGACAATCAGGAACAACATTATATTTACCGGCTTTATACTTTATATTCCTCCTAATGTAATATTCCACTTCTGGAGTCTTAACGACATGGTGCTATTATCCTTAAGACCCTTGGTAAAGATAAGAACTAGAGGTTTATGGTCAGTAATAATTGTAAATTTTGTGCCTATTAATTATTCCTGGAACCTCTTTATAGCGAACATTATGGCGAGAGCCTCACGCTCAATATTGGTATAGTTCATTTCAGATTTTAATAAAGTTCTCGACGCGAAAGCTATAGGTTTTTCTTTACCATCTTTTTCAATATGAAATAGTACAGCTCCTAAACCACATTTTGATGCGTCAATGGCTATCCCTAAGGTAATTCAGGGTTAAAATATGTCAAAGCAGATGGAAGACTAATCAACTTCTTAAGATCATTAAAGCTTTTAGAGTGTTCTAGGTTCCAAGCCCATTTTTCTTTGTTGACAATCTTATATAGAGGATCGGCAATTTCTGCAAAATTGTTCAAAAATTTTCTATAGTAGCCAGCCATTCCCAGAAATGTTGTTAATTCAGCAGCTGATTTTGGTTCTGGCATATTAATTATTGCTTCAATTTTGTCGTGATTAGCATGAATCCCCTTAGCGTCAATATCATGACCCAGGAACCTCACTTTGTTTTTAAAGAACACACTTTTATTAAAGTTAGGTATTAGCCCAAACGATGATATTCTATCAAACACTTTTTTATGTTGTTAAGGTGGGCTTCATCGTTTTTTCCAGTTATAAGTAAATCATCAATATAAAATATAACATCATCCATATCACCAAAAATTTGATCCATAATCTGTTGAAAAATTGCAGATGAGGTCTTAAGCCAAAAAGGAAGTCTAGTAAATTGGTAATATTCCTTGTGCGTAGATATGGTTAAAGTATTTCTGCAACTTTTATCAATTGGTATCTGTAAGAAAGCATTTTCAAAGTCAATCTTCGTAAATTTCTTTCCTTCTGAAAGTTTAGCTATTAAATCATTGATTCGTGGTAAAGGGTATCTGAAATCTTCTAGAGCTGGGTTTACAGTGTCCTTAAAGTCTACACAAAGCCTAATGCTCCCATCATCTTTGTAGACAGCGGTAACAGGACTTGCCCATCGGACATCATTCACCGGCTCAATTATCTTATCATGTATCCATTTCTTAAGTTCATTGCCAACAAGATCAATTTTTGAATAGAATACGTCTAGGCGGTATAATTCTAGGTTGGGCATCTCTTCTTAAATGTAACTTGACACTTGCCTTGTTGATTGGCCCATTAGTCAATTTGGATTCACACTCTTTAATTAATTTTTTTATTTCATCTACGTAATTAGTGTCAACATTTGCTATAAATTTATTTAAAATATTTTTAAAAGCATTGATCCATATACGTCCCAATAAGTCATTTTTACTTGATTCGACGACAATCACTTGTAAATATTTTGAGATACCTTCATAAGTCACTTTGACTTGAGTAGTGCCAACGATCTTGAATAAATTTCCGTCATAAGCGGTGAGTTGTAATTCGGATTTCTTAAGATCTCTAATACCAAGTTTTTTAGCCAGACCATGAGGTATAATAGTATGTTTAGATCCAGTGTCCACTTACATACATGTAACAATATCATTCACTTTTAAGGTTGTCATAAATGCGTTATCTTTGTCATTAAGCATGTCACCAGATAAGTTGTTAACATTGAAATTATTATCATCTTTGTTCTTTGTAGAGTCAACTTTTTCTTCAATAATTTCTTCAATATTCATGTTGTAATCATTATTGTATTGTATTAGCTTTCTATTATTGTTGTCACCACCTCTATAATTATTTGAGTTATTGTTATATTGTATTTGTTTTCTCTGATTATAGTCATTACCTCTATAGTTGTTAGAATTGTTGTAATAAGATTGGTAATTGTTATGATTTCCGTCACCGTATTGGATCTGTTTTCTTTGATTATTATCATGCCATGTATTATTTCTACCATAATTAGATTGATTATTATTATTATAGCGTTAGTTATAATTGTTATAATTATCGTGGTATCTCGAATTATTACCATAATTGTATCTAAAATTATTATTGTAATTCCCATTTCTATATCTATTATCATAATTATTTCTAAAATTATTTCTAAAATTATTTCTAAAATTATTATTTCTAAAATTATTATCAGGTCTAAAATAATTATTGTTGTCATTTCTATTTTTATTGTAAAAGTTTTTATCTTTATCGGACTTTTTATCATTATTTATATAACTTATATTATTGTCATCCGACTTAATGTTAACACAGTCAAGTTTCACCCCTAAATCGATCATCTCGTTTAATGATAAGTTAATGTTTTTAGAGAATTTATATTTTATCTTATCGTTTAAGGTAGATGTCCGTAATTTTTCTTTTAATCTACTGTCGTCCAAAAAATTACATTTTTTATGCATTTTCGATATTCTTATGTACCACAGCATAAAACTCTCTGATGAGTTTTGTTGAAGTAGATTAAACTTATTAATTAAAGTATTTAAATCTTGCGCTGGTAAAAGGAAAGTTAATTTTTTAATCAATTTTAAGATCTAGAATGTCGGTATCAGAACAGATTGATTTAATATTGTCAAAAACCTCGTCCGATAAATGATTAAGCAAAGTATTTATTTTAATAGAGTCCGATAATGTACTGGTCGAAAAATAATTTAATATTCTGTCTAAATAAATTTCGGTAAGAGGTCCCAGTAACTAAGGAATCTTATGTATAAACTCTTGTTTTATTTCCATGTTTTATTAATAAGACATATATGTAAGCAATTATAACATTTTATATTTTAGCAATTTATATTTTGGTAAATATACAAATCAATTCGATAAAATCATTATCACTATATATATAATGCTTCCCATTCAGCAATTCGAAGCAACAAATCATATCTCTTAAATTGATAAATTCAAACAAAACATCTTCCGTTCCACTTATTCTAGAATAATTAACGTCACAGTTGTAGGTTAAGTCAAATAAAATATCGTAAATTGAAATTATATGGGGAATATTAATCAATTTGAATGAAAACATACTTAGGAATCTTATGTGTAAATTCGTTTATTTTCTCCATTATATAGGAAAATTTTTTTTATTTAATCAAATTTACCAAAATTTTTTTTATTTTTTAAAGAAAAAATTTAATTTCCATAAGGTGAGTTTCTTTTACCTATTATGGAGCACCATGAAAAGAATCATGTATATGTGCTATTAAACAAAAATTTATTTTTATTATTAACTTTATTATTTCTATCTTTTCCATATTACACTTCGTTTATATATATATTTTACAAATCCAAATTAGAATACAATATTAAAAAAACGAAAAACAAAAAGTAAAATATTACAAAATATAAAAAGTAAGGTTACCCAATATAAAAAATAAAGTTATAAAATTAGATTATAAAAAGTTTAAATGCAAAAAACAAAAAGTAAGATTAAAAATTAGATTATAACGCAACAAAAGCCTTAAGATTTTGCTCATCGGTGGCACAGAGGTTTGAACATCTATCGACGAAATCTCGAGGCTTAGACAATAATTTTCTGTCTAAAATATTGAGTTAGCCGTTTTAAAAAATCGATTCAAATCGAGCCGTTTAACAACACTAACTAGGACTGATAAAGCTATTGCAGTATTAAATTTAAAAAAAAATCCTTAATGGAAGGATAGTATTTAACCATTTTTAATGTATTTTGATGGTCTATAATATAATTTAAATCTCTAGTTCTGTTTGTATTATTGAACTCAGTAATTGGGTAAGGCTAAATACAGACTAACTTAGCTCAACCTTCAGGCGCTTGCCAAAAAAAACCTTTTAACATTAAGGCGTTTTAATTTATAATAATTAATTAATATAATCTTGGGCTAAGGTCCTTTTCATATCCATCGCATCGTTTTCCCTCCTTATTTGGATTGAAGGAGCACTAATTTTTTGAAGGGCATATGACTTTAAAAAAAGCTATTTTAATTAATAATAACTAATTTGAAATATTCGTCTTCTCAAGTTGACGACTCAAGTTCATAGAACTACCTGTCCTCTAGTCGACTCAAGTTATAATTCGTATTTACGACTCAAGTTGGAAGTCTAAAGTTAAAAAAATGTAAAAACCATAACAAATATTTTAATTGAGGACTATTTTGAAATATTTCCTTTAGTTTACTCTAGTTGATGACTCGAGCTCATAAGAACTAAGTCCTCTAGTCGACTGAAGTTTATAATTCATGAGAACTACTTAAGTTGGAAGTCTAAAGTAAAAAACAGAATATCTTAATTTAATAACTAATTTAAAATATTAGTCCTCACTGTTTACGAATAGAAATATAAATAATCAGTGGTTGTAACGGCAATTTCTTTTAGTTAGACAATAATTTAATTATTCCTTTTATTCATAATTCGTAGTATACATTTTTATTAAGCACACGTTCATATTAATGGCTGATTCAGAAGATGATGTTATAACAGCTGTGGATATTTTGGAAGATGAAAAGAACTTCGAAGAAGAAGCTAGTGCTTTGTTTGGAGATTTTGATAATAATATTTGTACTTATGAAAGGGTAAATTATATAAAAAAAATAATTGTATAGGTTTAAAATAGGGTTATATGAAAAGACAACCACTTTATTCATGCTTAACTTGCCGATCGATTAGTGATAAAAGCGCTGGAGTTTGTTTAGCTTGTTCTCTCAATTGTCATGCAAATCACAACCTGGTTGAATTGTATACTAAAAGGTATTTTACTGACTTAACACAAAAATAATATTATGTTTAGAAATTTTAGATGTGATTGTGGAAACACAAATTTTATTAATAATTTATGCAATCTTAATAATAGCAAAGATGATATTAATGATAATAAGTATGGCCAAAATTTTGAGGGCTTGTATTGTATATGCAAAAGACCCTATCCCGATGAAGATATAGCAGTTAATAGCATTATTTAACATTCGTATATAAATAAATTTTATTAAGGAAGAAGAAGAAATGATTCAATGTATAATATGTGAAGATTGGTACCATCTAAATCATATAAAAACATCTAATTTAAAAGTACCACATTCTCTAGAATATGAAGAATTTATTTGTTCCATGTGTGTAAACAATAATCCTATCCTTAATGATTATTTTGAATATTATAAAAAAGGTACTTTTATTAAAGGTATATTTTTATTATATAAGAGGTTAATGTTAATGCAAAGTTAAAGAAAATGATAATTCATCAAAACAAATCAAATGCTATTATCAAGAGGTTATAATTAAGCAAAATGAAAAAAACTTAAATTATGAAGATGATTCAAATAAAGAATCCCTTTTTTGGCCTGATATTAATTGGAGGAAAATACTTTGTAAATGTGATAACTGTATGGTTAGTATATTTAAATATTTTATTATATAAATAAAATACCTTAATTAATAGAAAATTTACACTGAAAATAAACTTGATTACATAATTGATCTTGAAGATTCATTAACATATTTCTCCAACAAACCTTCAAATATTAATACATCTTTTACTACCCTTTTACCTATTAATAAAAGTCCTAAAAATGTATCTAAAATTAATAATGACCAAAAAATATTTAAAAGTCAGTATGAAGAAAGTTTGGAGGCTTTTTCAACCTTAGATAGACTCTCACAAAATGAAATGTTGCACCAATTTAATACCATGAAAGAAAATTTGAAAGATTACTTACAAGATTTTGTGACAAATAAAAGAGTAAATATTTCATCAATAATTTTTTAATATTTATTATATTAGATTGTAAAACGGGATGATATTTTGGAGTTTTTTGAGAGGGAAGCCAAAAAGCCTAAAATTGAAAATATTACTGGTTATAAATAACCTATTTAAGCATATTTATACAATTATTTTTAATGAATTTTAAAAATGTTGTATTTTGTAAATAATTAATGTGTATATTATTAAGTTATTTTATATTTTTATAATAAAATTGAACAAAAGATCTAGTTTATTTTAAATGTTGTTGTTATTAAGCACCTAATTATATGCATTACTATCCATGCCACTTTTTTAGCAAGGATGTCAAACCTTATTTCCTGGTTTTTAATTGGGGTAATTTTTTCTGGATAATTTATTCATCCATTATCATGCCAGAAATTGCACATAATACAATTTTATTACCCTGAGAGAGTTTAATATCCATCACATATTTTCATTAATATATAAATCCCAGTGATGTATACCCCTATTATTATAGAGGTCGGTTTGTCTGCTAGCACAGGGTAGAAAAAAGGTATATATATATTATCTTTTAATGACAGAATAGAAGTGTTTGCTGAACATTTTCTTTAATGTAACTGCTGATCTGGCTACCTTTGTTTTATTTTTTATTTTCCTTTCTCTAACATCAACGTAATTTTCATGTTCTTTAATCATAAGTGTTGTGTCAATATCATATATCCTAGAAAGAATGTTATAAATGGGTTCGGTTTGCAAATAGATATTAGCTTTTATAAAAATTACAGAAGCTAACTTGTAACAAATCAAATTAAAATTTTTTATGAATTCATTGTGATAAAACATTGAGAAGTTACATAATTTGGTGTGATTCTTGTCATTTTGGATTAACCCCCATATATTTCTTTTTATCCAGTATGATGGGAGAGAAAAAAATACAAGCGTAGCTCTGTTGTTTTTAACAACTAAGAGCGAAGCGCATAAAGAATGACGAATCCTTGAAAAAAATTCTGTTTGTTGATGCAATGTGTTTTCGTTCAGTAATTTGAAAATCTATTGTAAATATTCCTTCAAACGTTGTTTTCGCGTAACATAAACTATAAATGAGAGATTTATCAAATCCATTTCCTAGCATTTTATTAGCCAATAATACCTATTGATTTTCCACGTTCTTTTATTTGGGAATCATTTCTTGCGTTTGCCTAGTGTTGTTAAACGGCTCGATTTGAGCCGATTTTTAAAAACGGCTAACTCAACGCTATAGCCAGTGCCAAAGCGTCGAGATTTCGCCAATAGATGTTTAATCCTATGTGCCATCTATGAGCAAAATCTTTAGGCTTGCAAATATTTTTCAGGATAAAATATTGAGTTAGCCGTTTTTAAAAATCGGCTCAACTTAAAAAAATACATGTATATTAAATTTAAAAAACCTTAACGTCGAAAATTTTTTATATCCTGTTCTTTTAGCCAAAATAATTTATTCAGAAAAACGTTAATATTTTATTCAGTATCACAACATTCTTATTATAAAGTTGATTTCGGTTCCTAGTACTCAAGCTGTTGGAACGTTGGGGAGGTGAAGAAATGGACTAAAATTATTATAAAGTTGATTTCGGTTCCTAGTACTCAATAAAAAAAATATAATATATTATAATTTTATGTTAAATATTACAATTTAATAAACCAACATAAAATGGATATATTATTATATTTATTTTATCTATTATAATATAATTCTTTTAAAATTATAGTTGAAATAAAAAAATTAAATTAAATGCATAATTCTTTTGCATAAAAAAATATTGATTTCTTAATTACATTTGGTTCAAAGAGGGGTAGTGAAAAATCAATATAAATATTGGATCGGTATCGGATAGCTTTGAACCAATATCGGAAAATATCGGATCGGTGAAAAATATATGGATCGGCACCGCCCTAGTTTTGATCCTTGGTTGAGTCGGGGGTAGATAGGAGAGTCGTCTGAATTCGGAGTGATTGATATCTAGATTCGGAGTGATTGATATCTGGTGGCCGGGTTGCCATCCGTTCTAAAGAGATCGTCCTTGGTCATAATGACAACGGGGTTCAGTTACACCTAGTTTTCAAATGCTTCTCCTTCCCTCTAACTTTCCATATCACGTCGGGATTGGATATTCCAACGATGATATCGTTGGTTCTAGATGTAGTTTTGGCTTAGTACACAACAGACCCGTGAACTAGTGATCTGCATTGGGCCTAATTTTTCAAGCCCGGCCAAAAAATTTTGCCGGCTCGACCCGAACCCGAAATATTTTTTAAAAAGTTTTGCCGGCCCGAACCCGAAATTTTTTTGAAAAAATTTACCTGCCCGGCCCGAATTCATTAAAATTTTAGATATTAATTTATATAATTACTCAAAATAAAAGATATGTTATATGGCGTCTAGTTTCTATAAATAAAATCAAATATTTATATTTTACATTAAAAATTCAACATAAAATTGATAAATTTAGATATATTTAAAAAAAAATCCAAAACCCCACCTGACCCGGCCCGATTTTTTAAAAAAAATATTAGGCCAGACCCATCCCGAACCCGACTACTTTAAAAAAAAATAAACCCAGCAGATCTCTACCGTGAGCGTCTATTATGATTCATATCTCCCACCATTAGTTAGATATATCTGAGGATATTTGCACCTATACGAGTTTTAAGAGGTCCATATCTCTAAACGTCTGGTTGCTTCGCCCTCCAGACCCTCCGTTAACGGGCTTATGGGCCATTTTGCCAGGGCTTCGGCGTAGTTTTCCTTAAAAATTATATTTATTTTTTCTTCTATATAAAATATTTAAAAATATTATTGTTCATTTTAATTAACATAACACTAAATTCGACATTTAATAATTTTTCTTATAGATTAAAATTTTAAATTATAATTATAAATATTTAATATGTAACAAATATAAATTTTATGTTTGCTATTGTTTATAAATAGAAAAAAAACCATCTTTAGTTTGCACCTGATAAAAAATAATCAATATATTAGTGATAGCAATTGTTTACAAGGAATTAGTAAAAAAATTTAAATAGTTCTCCGGTGTGGTATCTTAATATATATTAAAATGTATTCTCAGATATCATAGAGAATAAAGTGGTTATATTTTAGAAGAACAAAATATGACAAGTTTCTTTCTTAACTATTTTGATAACAGAAGAATGAAAAACAGCTTCATAATAGAAATTATTTATTTTACATAATTTATTGCTACTTTAACTTAAATATTTGTAGGCGTCAAGTTTAACACTAGGGAAGCAATTGAAAAACATTTTTATTAGTCATACAAAAATTAAAGTGAAAATAATCATATTCAAAAAACATTATTGAATAAATTTAACCAGAATTGGTTCATTGACAAATGAACACTAAGAACCTGATAAAAAATATCCCAAGTTATTATTTCTTTCAAAATAAATTAAACCCAACAACTAACAACCTACCTATTTGAGAAATACTATTTAAATTTAAACAAAAGATTTGTTAAAATTGTACTATTTCTTGCTTGTGGTGTTACTAAATCAGCTTAATAGCCTTGAGGCACGAGTTTTTTTCAAGATTGAGCTATCCTTTACGTTTAAACCTCGATCGATGCTATGATATGTTTTCGCTTAAATCTGGTTTAGTTCTATTTAAGTCAGTTCAAAACCTCTTAAAATAGAGCCATTTATCATAACTACGATGGGGGGGGGGGGGGGTGAATCACTCTATACTTTAAATAAAGAAAGGCAGGGCTAAAATTTCCATGGGTTTTTAAGATTTAAAAACGATATTTGATGTTTAAAATATTAATTGATCAATATTCTATAGAATATTTCAATAGATCAAGAGCGGCGCTTCCGTGGACTCAGCGTCACTGAAATAAGTTTAAAATTTTTAAACCATGACTTAACTGTCGATGGTTATTACATTTTTTATTTAAACCAGTACCATCTTTATTAGCCTTTATTTAGTTTTTATTTTACATAATTATTTTCAAAAAAAATTTTTTTTTAACCTTAAATTATCTTGAATTACTTTATATAAAGAGATTGTTATATTGAGAGAAATCAAAAATTTTATTTTAGTTAATAGAACATAAAATGAAAATATTGAAAAATAGAACATGAAATAAAAATATTGAAAAATAGAATTTTTTTCTTCTTTATCTTCAATCGTACAAAGGCGTCACCTGGCTATAAAAAATAGCTGTATTTCTATTTTTAACTTTATAAAATTTTTAATTTTTATAACAATAATAAAGTAAAAACATAATTCAACATTTTTGAAAAAAGCATAAAATTTTTTGGCCAACAAACTCAACCTCAAAATTTGGAAATGGGGTTAAATTAAAAAAATTAGCGGGGTGGCTTAGCATCCTGTACCTGTAGCCCCCCCCCTGGCAATACAACCCTAATATGCTTAAACATATCCAAGAATTGTTGAATAAAATAAAATAAATCATTATTTATTTAAATTTATGACGGTGTTTTAATTATATTAAATGTTAAGTCAAGTTGTTTTATTTTTTTTGAAATTATTTTAGCCATTCCTTAAACTCAAATTATAAAACATAAAAACAGACGATGATACAAGAGACATTAAATTAAAGTGGATGAAATAAAATTCTATCCTACAAAAAATATTTTTTATTTTCTAAAAGAATTGTAACATTTAAGAATTAAAGTTTTAATAAAATGGGTGAAGATTTTCAGCTTGCAGATATCGATGATATTCTGAGTAACACAGTAGAGATTTATGTTTTTCTACCAAAACATTCACGCTGTGCCTGCCACAATATTAATATCCCAAACCTCATTTTAAAAATGTCTGACCTTATATGTTTTATCAGGGACCCGAACCGTTATTTATAACGGTTCAGTTTGGTTACGGTACAGTATGAAAAATTATAATGGCTACGTTTTGGTTACGGTTCTTAAGGAAAAATTTATAAAGGTTCGGTTCGGTTCAGCTAATTATAAAGGTTTATTATGGTTCATTACGATTAGAAGTTTTTTTTATTGAAGCAACTCATTTTTAAATAAATTATTTGAACGTATAAGTAATATATTTTCTAATATAAATGGATTCCTTTTTGTTCGTTGTGACAATAACATAAATTTTAGCCCCGAAAAGGCCCTTTCTACAGAAACTGGTGTTGTGGGAACCGCCAGTACTATAAGAGCAAGTGCATATAATTCTGGATATTCAAATTATTTCCATTTCTAAAATATAAAAACTGAACAGGTTTAACCATTTTTTATAAAGGTTCTTTTTACTTCTTTTAAAAATATAACGGTTTATAATGGTTTAGCGGTTCGCTACGGTTCACTCCAGGTCCCTGTGTTTTATAATATGATTTTAAAAAATAGTGAGAATAAAATAATATACAAAAACTCGACTCAATCATTATTATAATTAAATAACTATATAATATGAAAAAATGTCTAGGTGCTTTTAATAAATGTATAGCCACACTTTTAATAGCACTGCAAAATGGTCGTATACATTTAATATAATTATTTATAAATTAAAAATACAATGTTATAATAGATTTCGTGACCTTCCAAAATTCATTTAAGGCAAGAAAGGAGCAAAAAATAAAAAATAAGAAACCCTCTTAGGCTTCGAGATGACCCACAAATGAACCTCAAAGCCAACATCATTTGATGATATTTTTTTTACCTAAAACGATAAAATTTTATTGTTGATAATGAATGCGTGGAGAATTTTATACAATCCAATAGGACCACATTATCTTTGTATTCTGATTTCCCAGATTCAACATTACTTTTTATTAAATATATTGTTACTCTTACATCAATTTCTCCTGTAGAATATTAATTGTCTAGGGAAACTTTAAGCCGAAATTTGTAGTGTTGTTAAAAAGCAGCGTCTACATGACAGGATTTTACTGGCTGCAAATCTCCCTCAAAAATCTATGCCTATCCCCCCAAATAATTTTGCAGCCTTCGGCGTCTAGTACTTTCTTCATAAATTTTAAAAAGAATAACTTAAATTATTTTAGCTCTACAACTATCAAAATATTGTGAATATAAGTTATTTTTTAGAACATGGATTCAATTAAAATCCCACTTATTTACAATGAATGCATTATTATACTATATTGTTTGACATGAATATGAGTTAAGTTTTATTTGGAAAATAATGTCTATGATTGTATGCAATACAATAGATTTGGTCGATGATTAGCAATATCATTGTATTATAATAGGTCTATAATAAAAGTATTCATTTTTACAGCAATATATTTTGCCAATTTTATCTGAAAATTTTATAGATAACCACCCAATAAAGTTATCCTACCTACCTTGGCGCCTACCCCCTACCCCACTTAAAAAATTAGATGCAATGCAAACTGTTCCTACAGCCTCCGTTCTCTCTCGTTCTTGTAGACGCTGTAAAAGTCCGATTTGGGTCTATTTTTTAGAACGGCCCAATTAAGATTCTAGCTAAAATATAATTATGAACTAGATTTTTTAAAAAGATGCCCACGCATTTCTGCCAGCTATGAGCAAAATCTTTAGGCTTACATAATGTTATTTTGGTTATAATCTTACTCGGGCCGTTTTTTAAAATAAACCTGAATAGGACTTTTTAACAACACTACAAATTTGTATGAAAAATAAATATAGTTTTTGCAAATATATATGATATTGTGATATTTATTGAAAATATATTGCAATCTATTTTATAAATATAATTATTTTTATGAATAAATTTTATATATCTTTTTTTATAAAATGTAACTAGTTACCTTTCAAAATATATATGGCATTGACGGTTTTTAAAATATTACAAAGTTCATTAAGGTTTTTTCCTAAAATAGAAATAGGTTCTAGTGGAGAAAATATTTTGGGATATCTTTTATCGAAGCAATCAAAGTCATTTATCGGCGAAAATAAGTTTGTAAAAACCGTAAGCAGTAAAATTAATTAACAAAGCCAAAGAATTTACAGTTATATATTAAATAAAAAATTCAAATAATTTAAATATATAGCCGTAAAACGAAGTGAATTCACTTTTAGTCTTAGTATTAATTCTAATGGATTAGCATCGCTTTTGATAAGAACGATAATATTTTAATGAGCTATGTTAGATAAACTTATTATGAATTTGAAATTATATCCATTAATCTTTTTTTTAATGTTTATCTCGCCAATTTTGATTATATAAAAAATAGGCTAAAACAATTTTATTTTTATATGTAATTAATTGCAACTTCTAAAAACAACTTTTTGCTTATTTACAATACGTGTCTTTAAAAAAAAATAACTAAAAATTAGCATAATATAACCTTTACTTAAAATAATCAATATTTAAAAATTTAATATAAAATATATAAAGAATTATAATAAATATATTTCTATAAATTTAAAATTATCATCTAATAAATCCCCCCCCCCCTCACTTGATATATGTCCAAGGGGAGAGCTAATGATTGAATATAAGTGTAAGTTTTTTTATATTTGAATTTGGATTTATAAGAAGAGGCGTATATGAAATTTCAAATCAAGGATTTACCTAAAGAGATAGACCAACTGGCCTTGGGATGTCACCTGATGATAAATTTGCCTATCCCAAGATTTTTGGTATTCAAGCCTCTTATTTATTGAATAAGTTGATGCGATAAGTACTGTCTTGACATAATGTGCCCTTAAGGCAATGTCTCCCTTTGAAATCAATGACCGCAAATTTTATCCTTTAACTATATGATTTTGTGTTTTTAAAAAAATATCAAAATCATTATCAGAGTAAAAGGATACTTTTTAGTAATAACTAGATTGTATAAAGTAACTTGACATTGGTCAAGAAAATTATGATAGTATTACATTGAAGTGTTTAGTTAAGAAATCTGTATGGTCTGGTCGAAAGTCTCATTAACGAGCCAAACATATCCACTAAGAACTTATACAAAAAAATCTAAACTTGTTGGAAAGAACGGGGTAGATTGTGCTTTGCAGATCTCTAGTTGGGTGACAGGCATATTAGATTTATATTAGAATGGAAAAAGAATTTGGCTAAAAATCAGGAGTTTTTTTTATATGCATCATGGCTAAGATAATAATGTATTTTAAACAATTTTTAGCCTCTAAGGTATGATAATCAATTCCAATGTAGAAATTATACATATTACATAATGTACAGAAAAAATAATTCTGAGATTATATTACCTGAACGTCTTAGCAAAAGTTTTTACTTAAAAAGAAAGGATAGAAATAGCTACCCTTAAATCAAATTACGTCTGTCGCATAAACTCGATCGCAACAGAGAGAATAATCAAATTAATATTTATAATTAATTAATTTTTTAATGTGTTTTTTTAAACGAACTGAAATTTCTTCTTTTTTTTCAGCAAAAACATATACAATATATAGCATATAAAAAAAAATCAGTACACCAATATATTTTGTTGGTTTGTAAATACAATTTTTATCAATTTTATATAGTATAATATTATTTTTAAAAAATAAAATTATTAATGGCTTTATTTTTATATTTGATTTTTAATTTAATTGATTGCCAAAAAACGGGAAATAATAAGGATAATTATTATTAAGCAGAACAAAATTTCCTTATCAACTCTAAAAGAATGCTTCCGATGAATCACAAATACTTAATGGTATATAATTAAAATATTTTTAAGGCTACAATATTTTCCAATATTATTTTATGATACAAGATATTCATTGCTTTAATCTGGGCCTTTTCTTCAATAATTTATGGCAGAGAAATATCGTACACAGGTTTGTCTATATATATTTATTTTTTTATTCAATAATTTCTGGTGTTGCAAGAATATATATCTTTCTAAACATACACATTTTTGATTTCAATTACAGCAAAAGAGAGTTCTTTTAACTTGATAAATAAGTGAATTTGCTTTAAAATCGTTTTATCAAAGAAGTATAGTTCACGACAATATTGTTTGAAATTTTGAGGGTATAAATTCACGACACGCTGGAATACGATTTTGAACCGGATTATGTCTTGTAAAATTAAAAAACGCAGGCTAAAAAATAAATTTAAAAAATAAATTTATTTATAAACTAACCTCAAGAGTATGACATATACTAAGGGGGGTGGGGATTGCACATGGGGCGTGTTAAACCATTTGACGTCGAATATTATATAGGGGGGAAAACCCCGCTGCCCCCATGAAGTCAGCGCCTTTATTATTATCATTTACTTGGCACGACATTTGATAAAACTTTCTCATTTAATTGAATGACGCAAGTGGTATTATTATTCATAGTTATATCAATACTACATTTTAAACTATTTGATTTGTTTGATTAAAATAAATTTTAGCTTCCAGTAATGATCCTATTATCAGACCTTCGTTTGCAGATATAATAAGCGCCGCTTTGATTGTGGGATAATAATACTAAAATATTGCAATCAGATTTGCATACTTTTATTTACACTAATCTTTTTATAATGATATTTTTATTTTATATTATATACATATATATTTGAAACATGTAAAATGTCACTATTTTAACTAATTAAAAATCATGTTCCTTAGTTTAATTTTTTTTTTCCTCATCACGATAATGATGTAAAACAAAAAAATTTACTCAAAATTGATATAAATATTTTATTATTCTTAAAATTTATATCTTCAGTTATCATTTTATATTTAAATTATATTACAATGTTTGATTGAATAGACGATAAAACAAATATCCCCCTTTAGCTTCTTAGAGATAATTCATTAAATCGGTCAAAATGTTTCTTCTTTAATCTATTCTCCTACTAGGGCTCACTCATATCACCCCAAAATTTTTATGACCGATGACTAATCTCCGTCGAAGATAGTGACACAGTTTACTTTAATATGGCCTTTAGATATGTAAAATATTGTTTAAATTTTCTTCCTTCCTCAAATTGTGAATTTCAAAAGCACATATGTTAATTAAGAGTGTTTCTTTCTTTCTTTCTTTCTTTCTTTCTTTCTTTCTTTCTTTCTTTCTTTCTTTCTTTCTTTCTTTCTCTCTTTCTTTCTTTCTTTATTGCCACCATTAGTCGGCCAAAGCTAACTCAAGTTATCTAATTTCATGAGGAAAACGTATTTTATATTAAAATAGTGCGGTAATTTCAGATTCTCGTAAATATAAATATCCTTAGAGGATTCGAACATATTAAGAATATTTTTATAAAAATTAAATACCACATAAACCTTGTAATGTATGAAAAATAAATTGTATTTTGTTTAAGGATACAATTTATGGTATTTTTAATTGATTGTCAGAAATGTATTTTCGATGAAAATAACATATTCATTTTGTTAAAATAAATTTATATTTAATATTACACAGCCCTCAAACACATCTGCTGAATTGCTCTTTAGTATAAACCAAATTTTTCATAAAGAAAATAATAAAGATAAATATTAGAGAAAATATTATTTTATGGTACAAAGTAGTAAAAAGGCATGAAAGCTATTTTTTGAAAATAGTAACGATTAGTATACTTTAAAAAAAAATAACGACTAAGTAAACATATTACTAATCGAAGTCCCACACGCACAGTATTTTAAGATCATTTATTTTAAAAAAATTTTTAGCAACGATCTTTCACAGATATTTTTCACATTTTGATTGATACAACAAAAACTGTTGGTTAATTTGTAATATAAAAATCTTTAACAAATCACCTAAAAAATTTTTAGGGATCTAACTTTCGCGATCATGAGTTTATAAAATCTTTAATGAATTTTAATCCATTAGGCTGATTTTGTGTTTGAGCATAATAATTTATTTCTTATTTTTATTGTTGTTTCATATAAAAATTAAATTCGCAAATAAAAGGTTGTTATGTTATCAACTTAAGTTTCAGAATTATCATTTTAGGTGATTTCTTTCTCATAAACAATCTAATAACCATATGATAAAAATAAAAGTGTAAATGAAGCAAGAAGAATAACTAGGAAAATGTAGGTAAAAAAATACCCAGTCAAATGAAATAGCCTGATCTAATAAATAAAATTAATATAATGAATAATCCACACAGCTTATAAATTTTTAAAAACTCAGATTTTTAAAAATATATTTACTTATTTGTGCTTTTTTCCAGTGTAGTGAAACTGCACTCTTTTGCCTTTTTATGCAAGCATATTTCCCCCAACTTCTATATCCACGATGATAGCATTTAAAACAGCTTGTCTCCTCGTTCTCTAATAATTAGACAAAGAGCAATAGGAATCTTAAAAAACCACTCATGGCTCGGTTCCACGTCATTACAGAGAAACCATTACAGAGAATGTATTAGAGAATAATTTTATAGAGAATAATTTTACAGAGAATGATTTTACAAAGAATGATTTTACAATGAATTATTTTATTGATAATATATTTATAGTGAATTATTTTATCATTATTGTGTAAATTTGTCTAACTATTACTTAAGCACAATATAGGGGAAAAATATTACAAGATTTTTTATGAATAAAAATTTATTTGATATTTCGAAATGAACATTGCTAATCTAATAGTTAGTAGATTATCTAGGTTTATCTTACAAAAACTTTATAATACAAATAATATTAATCATATTCTTCAAATTACATTGCTAAAGTAACTTTATACAACAATATCTATTTTATTTTGTATTCTTATCTTTAAAAATAAATTTAGTAAAATTCCTTATAAATCATGTCAAAATTTTGTCTCTACCATTCATCCAATAATCCAAAAATCTTGTGAAAAGATAAGCAAATAATTTTCTGTGCTGATTGAATAATTTAAAAAATAACCAATTATTCGCCTATATAAGGTAATTCTAATATTTAATATTATGTCAAATACTGTAATTTTTTTTCCTTATGACTATTGTTGAATTTAGACCGATGGGTCCCCCAGTCTGAGTGGGAAAAATACAATCCGTGATCGGGGGTCTGGGATGGTCAATGACGGGATCCAGGGGGCCGGGTTTTATAGATTTAGTAATGGTATCACTCGGACAACGTAGTGGCCATAATATTTTCAAAGTTTATTCAACAAATTAAGGTCGATGTTACAAAAATATAAATTTTACAATCAAAAGAAAATAATTAAAGGTCAAGAAAAAGGTATTTTTCCAACCTTTATAATTTTTAAAACAAAGAGAAAAAAAAAGTTGTTATTTAATCGCGATACAATCATTCATGAAACTGGTTAGAACCAGTTTCAAATGCAATATAAAAATAAGGTATAATATCAATTTCATAACAAAAAAAAGGAAGATGGGAAAACAAAAGAAGCAAGTGAAGAAAAAAAACGTAAAGAAAAGAAATAAGTTATACGGAACAAGGGGGGAGATAGAACATAACAACTATGTTAGAGCCTAAATAGTTATACAAAAATTATATATTATATAGATATAACATTTTTATAAAATAATCATATTCTTTAAATAAAATTTTTTATAAAATAATTTTCTATAAAATACATTCTCACTCTAAATAATAAATAAGTCCCTAATTCTATTCCCGTATTGTGCGGTTCAGTTATCAATAAGCAATAATTAACATAATAATTCTGGTGCGTGTATTTGGGTCGATTTTTAAAAAAGGTCCGATTAAGATTTAAGACAAAATAATATTATATAAGCCTGGAGATTTTTCTGATAGACTGCAGAAAAGTTTGGACCTCTTTTTAAAAAATCTCGAGGCTTACATAATATTATTTTGGCTAATATCTCTATCGGGCCGTGCTACGTTAATTCTGGGAAATTACTTTTATTGCATCAACTCGATCCTGGAAACAATCCTCCCCCCCCCTTCTCCTAATATATATTTTTTATATATACAATTTGTAATATTTCATATTTTAAAGAAGCCTTGACTAATAATTGACAAAAAAAAAATTAAATATACAAAATTCAATTTATATTTAAATAACAATTTATTTCATTGCCACTTTAATATTATTTTTATAAAATTTTGATATAAGCTTACCTATAAAATGCTACCAATTTATTCCAAATACCTAATGGTGGGCAATTTAGATAATTAGAAAAAATATTTTCCTATATTATTTTTTCATGGCACTAGATATCCATTGCTTTAATCCTCGCTTGTTCTTCAATAATTTATGGTAAAGATATTTCAGGTATGTTTATCTATATAAATCATTGAGATTTTTATAATGTCGCATTTCTAAATTATTTTTTTCATTCATTAATTTATGGTGTTGTGAAAATCTGTCTAGTCTAAATTTAGGCATAATAATTTCGAATTAAAAATCACACTTAAAGCAATTAATATATCTAACCTCCACCCCCTATGAATTAGTATGTCACTGTAAAATAAAATTAATAGGTCAAATTTTAAATTAAAAAATTGAATTTATATTTTTGAAATATAAATAATTATATTAAATCACCTCATAAGATAAATGCATTAAAAAACGGCAACTTTGATAAATTTGTGCATCGTTATTTTTTAAAATAAAAAATCGGGTCTTATATAAATCTTGTAATTTATGATATTCATTCATTTGACCATTTCTTAAAGCCCTCATACCTAATGCGATTAGTATATCGAAATAAGTCATTTGCAAAGGATTCCATAAAATAATTGCATATTTCAATTATTGTTGACTAATGCAAAAAATATCGAGTTATAATAAAGTGTTTATATTTTAAGAAATGATTTTTATTTTTCCCTTTCATTAGATACTCTAAAAATATCAAATTTGTGAATATCTAATGAAAGGTTTTTTTTAAAAATATTGTAATAATCTGCATTTTTGGCTTAAAGGGGGATTTGTTTGACCACCCCTCCCCCTCCTCACACTCAGCAGGCTATACGCTTACCTCAAATATAGGGTGCTATTATATTATTAAATTAGAATTTAAACATTACTAGTTTTAGAATATTTTCCGTTGAACTGATAAGCCCCTTGCGCTGACTAACTTAGTCTCACCTGAGCCTGAGTTAAGCCAAAGAATGAGTGAAATGTTACAAATATTTTCTTATATTAATATATTAAAAAAAATATTACTGCACATACAATTTTCACATGTCAATCAGTACTTTTTATTATTTCCACAAGTTCAATTTTTAATCTCGTCATTTACCAATTATTTAGACAACATTAACCTTTGATTTTATAGTTCCCCTGAAAAACTATAAAATCATTAAAAAAAAATTCAAGAATTATTTTTGTCTTACTACGAAAAAATTTTAGTGATATTTAAGTAATATTCTTATAATAAACTATAAATTTAATTTGATAACAAAGTTATAAAAATTTAATTGGGATAAACCGTACATAATTTTGGTACCTAATAATTTGAACAATTAACTCCATTGTATTTATTTAAGAAATTCTTAGGCCTATGGTATATCCTATTAATTTCATTGAATGTTTAATTTGATCAAACCTTTCCATTTCAAGGATTGTCACTTGTTAATATTATTATTTATATATATTAATTAATACCAAAATATAATTAAACTTTACTTAAAAAATCTTTTTAATAAAAACATCTTAGATCGAGGCGATGTCACTACTAATCAACCTAGGTTGGATAGCTTAATAGTAAATGCCATGGTCTTTGTGGCAGGATAATGAATGATATTGAACACACTTTTATTTAAACTATTTGTATAATTTATGATATTTATAGTTTATATTTCAGTCCAATCTAGTTTAAAAACTCCTGGGGCTGTGCTGATTGTTTCTTCTTTATCTGTATCTCAGTGTCACTAATATTAATCACTAATTTACAATATTTAAAATTGTTATTACTACCATATTTCTATATGTTGGTCATCCATTGTGTAAAATAAAACTTCTCTTAAATCAGAAAGAACTGAAATCGGTTAGATATTTAATATACAAAATGGATTAAATTATAATATTTTTTATATAATAAATAAGAAAAATAAAAATATATCAAAATGTACGCTGGATACATACACATTTATTTAAATATATCAGCATAAGATACAAATCTATCAAAATTTTTGCTG